ATAGAGGGGAGAACAAGCCCAGGAGCAGCGGGACTGGCACCTCTGGCCCTGCCCCTTCACGGGGTCTAAAGCTGCTGGAGGCACATGATGGTTTGCCAGGGTGAAGGCACTAGCTTCCCAAAGAAGATGCCCACAAGCACCGATGGCGAGCTCCCCGTGGTAGTCCCACCCAAGTAGGGCCCAGGACAGGACGGAATCTGAGGGGCCTCCGGAGTCTCAGGTTTCCGCACCCCCTCCGGAGGCTTGCGGCTCTGTGAACAGGTGGGGGGAGCGCGCGCTCTGCTGCTCCCAAGGCGCAGACTCCCAGCTCCCACGCGCGAAGCAAATCACGTCCCTACGAATGGGGAAACCGAGGCTCAGAGAAAGAGGGGGCTGGCCAACGTCCCCCTGCAAGCTGGGGAAAGAGAGTGGACGTCTGCCTCCGGGGCTTTTCCCAGCTCCACCTCAGCGCGAAAAGCGTGTACCGTGGCGCTTTAAACGTAGTCATCTCCTGCAGTTTGGGAAACTTTTCCTGCCATCAAGCAGGCGCAGCCCGAACCCCGATTCCACATCCACCCGGGCAGTTATGCCCCCACTCCCAAACTGCAGCAGGAAGGCAGGTTACGCCACCGTGTCGGGCTCGGCAGGCACCTGTATCCAGCAGAGCCCGGCCGCACGGGAGTCAGGCGGATGTTGGGGCGCCTGCTCGCCAGGACCCCCGGCCTCTGTGCAGCTCTGCCCGAGCCCCCGGGTCCTACTCGCGCGACCGACGTTGTGCGGGAGGTTCAGAGAGGAGAGCGCCCTAGTCTGAGCCCCTGCGCGGGGCGGCGCGGACTGGGGCTCTGGGCCCGGACCCCGAGACCTGGGCTCCCCAGCCCCCGAGGCAACCCGAGGCGGCGGCTATTTATAGAGGGAGCCACGCTCAGTCCCTCTTGGCGGCGGCGGCGACAGCTGAATATTTTGCCCAGATATGGCTGAAGCCCCGGCGCTGGGGCAGGGGGCCCCGCGAGCTCTGGGGGGACCCCAGG